GGATCCTATCCTGACAGCTAAGTTTGTTTCTTTTATTCTGCTACTTTAAAACAAGTTCCAGCTCTCCACCACTAGTGGCCTCCCTACCCACTAACCTTGGAACTTACCTGCATCATTCCTCATCTGCCTGGACTAATAACAGATCCTACATAAGGCTACAGCCTGCTCACAACAGGGCCTTTACAATGAAGTTGATGCTCATCCTTAAAGACTTCTGTTCCTGGCTCCTGTAATCTGACCGACTTGTTACCATCCAGCTGGAAGCAATCCTGGTTTACTCTATCAAGCTTAGTTATTTCCTACCTGATCTTTATTATCTACTTTTGTTACTAACCTGCTCCATTACCAACCTGGACTGCTTTACAACCCTGCTTTATCCTGCGAACCAGCTTTATACCAACCTGCTCCAAACCAGCCTAACCTACGCTTCTACCCTGCTTTATCCTGCCAACCAGCTTTATACCAACCTGCATAACACCAATCTGGACTTTGTGTTATTTTCATACTCTATCAATATATCTCCTTCCAAGAGGGGGCTGATTCACTAAAGTTCTGCTTTACCAATAATCCTGAAACCTTATTGTTCTGTTCTATCCTGTTTTACTTATGCCTCTATATTCAACCTATACTTCTATATATAGGTTCTCTTATTATCTACCGATATCCTGTTTATAATCTATATAGGTCATATTGCCTAAAGCTGTTTCTCTTATTCTCCTCCTCCCTATAATTTTATTTATAGGATTTCTTGTTTCTTTATTATGTCCAAAATCACCAATAAAATCTCCAATGTTAACTCTGGCCAAAGTCTCTTAGCTGACCTGCTCAAGATCATGACACAGTCTCAGTGTCTTCCAGTGTCCCCATGTCTCACAGTGTCTCCTAGTGACATGGGGACTCAGACACTAGGGGACACTGGGTGAAATGGGGACACTGGGAGCAATCCATCTATACAGCATAATCAAACTGTGTAGGTTTTTGATGATTTTACAGAATTTTCACTAATGTTACTCCTTGTGATTTACATCATGTGAAGTCATGCATACATAATTAGTTTTGCAAATTAGTAAGGCCTGTGTTTTTTTCCAAGATAGGTAGCAACCCTCACTACTCTTCACATACTCTTGCTTAAGTCTGGAAACTTAAGAGGGATAAATGGAAAGAAAACTTTTGTGGACTAACTCAAATTAAATTAGTTGAGGTAATGCTGACTTTAGTCTCTCTAACACTGTGAAATGTTCCCTTTCTTCTGCACTCACTACATCCACCTTGTATACCAGGAGCTTCTGCTTGCTAGTAAGAAGGTAAGGAGACAAGTGGACATGTGAGTGCTAGGGTACAGTCCTTAGAAAGCATGGAGCGAGCGCATCATTAGATGCATTTATGTCAAGCTCAGAATGCTGTTGACCAGCATGCATGATTGGCAGGCAGCCTGACATGCATTCATGCCAGGCTAGCCTTCTAATTCTTTGGACAGACATGCCTCCTTTTTGGGCATGTTCGTCCCTTTCGGGAGTTCTGGTTACATGAATCGCGTCAGTGGCCCACCCTTTTACACCTCCCATCGACTTCCTGCTTCACTGGAGACTGCTGTTAGGGGTTATGGATTTACTTGATAGATGAAAGCATGAATTAGAGAGATTAGCATATTTTAAGAGAATCTGAGTTTTCTTATAGCTGCGTCATATGAGTTTCCCTCCGGCAACATCTCATACAGATACATAACACTTGAGAAGTATAGCTGTTTTAGTGTTTTTGGTTTTCAGATTCTGTACTTAGGCCCCTCATAATTGTTAGTACCAGGCTCACTGGGCTATTAATCTGGCTCTGCCTCCCGTGTAGTTCTTGGCTGATTCCTCACCGTTCTTATGATCGTTGAAACTCCATGAGGTGAGATCTTGCATGGAGCACCAGACTGAGGGAGACTGACAGTTATTGTATTTCTTCAATTTGCAAATAATTGCACCAACTGTTGTCACCTTCTGACCAAGCTGCTTGGTGATGGTCTTGTAGCCCATCCCAGCCTTGTGTAGGTCTACAATCTTGTCCCTGACATCCTGGACAGCTCTTTGGTCTTGGCCATGGTGGAGAGTTTGGAATCTGATTGATTGATTGTTTCTGTGGACAGTTGTCTTTTATACAGGTAATGAGTTGAGATTAGGAGCACTCCCTTTAAGAGAGTGCTCTTCATCTCAGCTCATTACCTGTATAAAAGACACCTAAGAGACAGAAATCTTGCTGATTGATAGGGGATCAAATACTTATTTCACTCATTAACATGCAAATTAATTTATAACTTTTTTGACATGCGTTTTTCTGGATTTTTAAAAAAAAATTTTTGGTTATTGTGCCTCTCACTTTTAAAATACACCTATCATTAGAATTATAGACTGATCATTTCTTTGTCAGTGGACAAATGTTCAAATTCAGCAGGGGATCAAATACTTTTTTTCCCTCATTGTATATTAACTAATAACTACCGACCATTCTACTACAAAATAAAACATATTTTTTATAAAGTGAGTTTTATTGGTATTTCCTAGAGAATTCCTAGTTTAGTTGCAATATGAATAGTTACATAGCTGTCTAGGTTGAAAAAGACGTAAGTCCATCAAGTTCAGTCTTGAAATCCATTATTTTATGCTGTTGGTTTTTTTTGTTTCTTTTTTGTTTGTTTTTTAAATTATGCCACAAAAAGGAAAAAAATCTTATTGACTCTATTATGGCAATTAGATTTCTTCTTGGATCAACAACCTGCTAATATACATATTAATTATATCATTCAATATTCTGCAAAAAAAAGCATCCAAACCCTTAAATTTTATTTATATATATATATATATATATATATATATATATATATATATATATATATATATACACATGCATGCATGCATGTATACATATACACACACATACACACACCGTATTTATCACTCCATAATACGCATTTTTTTCCTCCTCAAACGTAAGGGGAAATGTCTGTGCGTCTTATGGAGTGAATGTGTGGTCCCTGGAGCCGAATTGCCAGAGTGCAGGGGCGAAAAGCAGATCGTGCAGCACAGAGGAGGGAAGGCTGCAGAGAGGAGGCTACAGGGGTTCCGATATCGGGTCTGTCTGGCGGCGTGCAGCTTCCCCGCTCGTCGCCTAGCAACTGGTCTCGCCGGGACAAGGTAAAATGATCAATTGATGTACCGGTACATAGCTGAGCCTGCCGATTAGAAAGAAGATTGTGGCTGCTATCTGAACAGCAATTTGTCACTTTCATTTATGTAGCTCAGGGACATTCAACAAGGAGGCATCATAGACATTTCAATGAATTAGAATACGTTTTGTTTAAACGACTGTGCAAAGGACTCTCCTTCTGAAACGTGAGCAATATCTTCCGATGTTGAAATATTTATCTGTCAGTTCACACTCTCCATGTACAAAATACTATTTTAAGGGAAAGGTCTAATCATAGAATTCTTAAATGTGTTTTTAGTGCATTACTCAAATATTTACTAATTAATTAAAATATTATATAGTAAAGTGTTCATAGAAGTGTACAACTTTTTCTTACATTTTAATAGGTGATAATTAACATTTTAATCGCGTTATTATCGTGGTGATAATATTTTAAAATTATTTTTTTTACTAATGACCCTTTTTAAATTATATGATCTTTTTACTTGTGTGTTTATGCTTTTCTTGATATAGATTATACACCCAAACTTTTATATGTGTGAATATGAACCAGACCAGTTGTTTGAGTACACTTGTAAGAAACTAGCTTTATTTACAAATTCCCAGTGCTTTCATGAGCAGAAATAAAATAAAAACATGTATTACAATGTACAAAACCACAGAGAACCAGAATGCTGTACATAAACAGGTACCTGATCTTTGTTTCAAGGTATGTTTAGGATACATAAACTATGTTTACTATGATGCCATTATTTAAAGGTACGGTCAGCGCTCAGTGGTAAACATTGGAGATACGGTACATTACTGACAGTTCCTTCATCACTACAGTCCCATTCTACATACAAGGATGATAAAGCAGAAAAGACTAGCACTCCTTTTAAATTAGAGGAAGTAAAATATGGTAAGGAGCATGGAAACAGAGCAGTGGAGAGACATTACCTGTACTTCACCTGTTTTCCTGGCACTATAGTGGTCCTTTAAACAACACAATGTAACTCCAAGTCAATCACACTTCTGTGAAATCAAACTATCCACTTAGGAAGCAACACTGAATGACAATCAATTTCACATGCTGTTGTGCAAATGGGATAGACAACATGTGGAAATTATAGGCAATTAGCAAGACACCCCCAATGAAGGAGTGGTTCTGCAGGTGGTGACCACAGACCACTTCTCAGTTCCTATGCTTCCTGGCTGATGTTTTGGTCACTTTTGAATGCTGGTGGTGCTTTCACTCTAGTGGTAGCATGAGACAGAGTCTACAACCCACACAAGTGGCTCAGGTAGTGCAGCTCATCCATGATGACACACCAATGCGAGCTGTTGCAAGAAGGTTTGCTGTGTCTGTCGGCGTAGTGTCCAGAGCATGGAGGCGCTACCAGGAGACAGGCCAGTACATCAGGAGACGTGGAGGAGGGCAACAACCCAGCAGCAGGACCGCTACCTCCGCCTTTGTGCAAAGAGGAACAGGAGGAGCACTGCCAGAGCCCTGCAAAATGACGTGCAGCAGGCCACAAATGTGCATGTGTCTGCTCAAATGGTCAGAAACATACTCCATGAGGGTGGTATGAGGGCCCAACGTCCACAAGTGGGGGTTGTGCTTACAGCCCAACACCGTGCAGGATGTTTGGCATTTGCCAGAGAACACCAAGATTGGCAAATTCGCCACTGGCACCCTGTGCTCTTCACAGATGAAAGCAGGTTCACACTGAGCACATGTGACAGACGTGACAGAGTCTGGAGACGCTGTGGAGAACATTCTGCTGCCTGCAACATCCTCCAGCATGACCGGTTTGGCAGTGGGTCAGTAATGGCGTGGGGTGGCATTTCTTTGGGGGGGCCGCACAGCCCTCCATGTGCTCACCAGAGGTAGCCTGACTGCCATTAGGTACCGAGATGAGATCCTCAGACCCCTTGTGAGACCATATGCTGGTGCGGTTGGCCCTGGGTTCATCCTAATGCAAGACAATGCTAGACCTCATGTGGCTGGAGTGTGTCAGCAGTTCCTGCAAGTCAAAGGCATTGATGCTATGGACTGGCCCGTCCATTCCCATGACCTGAATCCAATTGAGCACATCTGGGACATCATGTCTCGCTCCATCCACCAACGTCACGTTGCACCACAAAGTGTCCAGGAGTTGGCAGATGCTTTAGTCCAGGACTGGGAGGAGATCCCTCAGGAAACTATCCGCCACCTCATCTGGAGCATGCACAGGCATTGTAGGGAGGTCATACAGGCACGTGGAGGCCACACACACTACTGAGCCTTATTTTGACTTGTTTTAAGGACATTACATCAAAGTTGGATCAGCCTGTAGTGTGTTTTTCCACTTTAATTTTGAGTGTGACTCCAAATCCAGAACTCCATGGGTTGGAAAATTTGATTTCCATTTTTTTATTTTTGTGTGATTTTGTTGTCAGCACATTCAACTATGCAGGCCCACACTGGTCATCAGGCACACCGGGCAAATGCCCGGTGGGCCGCGGTGGCCATGGCCCAAGGCCGGCAGGGAGATCACAGAATCTCCCCTGCCGGTCTTTGCAGGGCTGGCACTATCCGAGGTCGGTGGGGAGATTAAAGATGTCCCTCACCGTCCCACAAGCAATATATTCCGGCAGTGAGAGAGGGAGGGACAAAGCCAGGAGAGGAACCTGGCGGAGCTCTAACTTGCAGCTCCGCCGGGTTCCTCTTGCGAGATTCAGAGCGTTGCCATGGCAACGCTCCGGGTCTCGCGAGGGTGAACTCTAGTCTCACAGGCTAGAGATCACTCACCACTAGGATCACAAGGGATGGATGGCGGCAGCAGCAGGATCCCCCCTCCCAGGCATAAGGTAAGCAGGGAGGGGGGAAATAATCACCAAAGTCACATCAGCCTCACTTGCTCACAGACACCCTGCACCCCTAACACTCACAGCACCCTCACTCACACAAACACACACTGCACCCCTGTCACTCACAGCACCCTCACTCACACACACTGCACCCCTGTCACTCACAGCACCCTCACTCACATACACTGCACCCCTGACACACACAGAACCCTCACTCACACACACTGCACACCTGACACTCACAGCACCCACACTCACACACACTGCACCCCTGACACTCACAGCACACACACACTGCACTCCTGACACTCACAGCACACACACACACACTGCACCCCTAACACTCACAGCACAAACACACTGCACCCCTAACACTTACAGCACCCTCACACACACACACACACACTGCACCCCTGACACGCACAGCACACACACACACTACACCCCTGACACTCACAGCACCCTCACTAGCACACACATACACACACAAACACACACTGCACCCCTGACACTCACAGCACCCTCACTCACACACACTGCACCCCTGACACTCACAGCACCCTCACACACACTGCACCCCTGACACACACAGCTTCCTCACACGCACATAGCACCCTCACGCAAACACAGCACCCACTCACCCACAGCACCCACTCACCCACAGCACCCTTACCCACATAAAACCCTCACACAAACACAGCACCCATCACTCACACACCCACAATACCCCTCACACACACACAGTGCACCCCTCTCACATGCACACACACTACACCCCTTACACACACACACACACAGAGCACCCTCACACACACTGCACAATATGCTTTCCTAGCATTTTTGTCTCCTGGTATCCCATCTATGGAGACACCAGAGACAAATTTCAAGCAAACACAGTGCAAGCATGTTATTGAATTTGCTTGTGCTGTGCAGAACAAATACAGGGTCTTTTTCTCATGCCAAAGCTCTTCAGCAGAGCTCTGCGCATGGTCTACCCTGGAAGAGCATTGAACCAACATGCTCACTTTGTGATGGGGCATGCTTGTCATTGGTGATGACAAAACACACCCTATCTGGCCCTGCCCCCTTTTTAGTGGACCGCTGTAATTCAAAAATGAGCAGGCCGAATTTTCTTCCCAGTCTGGCCCTGCAACTATGTAAAGAACAAAGTATTTCATAAGAAAATTTAATTCATTCAGATCTAGGATGTGTTATTTTTGTGTTCCCTTTATTTTTTTGAGCAGTGTACATTAAACATGATAGTAACAAGTGAATGATAAATAAAGAGTAAAAAACATAAAGTGCTGGTAATCATTAGCAATTGTGTGTGTGAAGACTTTATTAATAACTAAGTATCCACATATGTATTAAAATCATATATTGAACATACCTTACATTAATTTATAGTTTTATTTGTTACAATTCATTATGGATTTTGAGATTCCCATTAAAGGAACAGATTTTTTTTTGTTTTTTTTTAGTAAATCACAATTTAGTACTATTTTTAGTAATACCCCCAATGAAAACATGCTTGTATTTAGGTATGCACGTTGTCATTGGGGGTATGTCTTAAAGCAGCTTAAAAAAGCTTCAGTTTTTCTCCCTGCAGCCTTTGCAAATCCTCCCTTTTTTCCCCCCAGCATATACTTTCAGTTTGAACCAGGAAATGAGCAATAAGAGGCCTCTCATTAAGAAACTGATGATTCTCAGCCACAGCCAGTGGAGATTTTCTCCCTGGCTCCAGTCGGGATCTTCTCCCTGGGGTCCACTAGGGATCTTTTCCCTACAGTTCCTTACTTCTTCCTCGAGATGTTGAGTGATGTCATATTCTGGCTCCAGGCATCACCATAGAGTGCGCACGAGGGAGCAGTGAGGATCTGGAAACACATAAGCTCTCCCTCACCACTGCCTCCTCCTCCCTGGTATATTTCGGCAGAGTATGCACCTGACGTCTGGAGTAAGCAGGTGCCTACTCTGCCTTACTGAATAAGTGTTCACTTTGGGGGTGCCCTAAGTTGACCAGCTAGCCACGTTCTGGGCCCCCTGTGACAGGTCATTGGCCTGCTCCTTGCAGGCAGCACTCCCCTCAACCCCGCATCCATGCCCCACCATGTGCCCACCCAGGATCAGCTTTGCCTGAAAATGTGCACTCTTTTGTGCAGTTAAGAATTACAAGTGCAAGTACAAAGTAGTTTATTTAAATCAAAAAGAGCAAACAAACAAAAAAAAAAAAAAAGTTCTTATGGGGAGCTCTGGTATCTGTTACACCATAAAGTAAAGTCACTTAAGTGCAAATATAAATAATAAAAAAAAACAGTGATAAAACAAAAACACTGCCTTCTATGGGAAAGGTTGTTTTCCAGGATTTCAAAAGAAATCCCATATAATATTTAAGCAACTCTGGCATACATGCAGTATACCAAACTATTTTAAATAAATACACTAAAAAAATAAGTCCTTAAACTCCCACTATTCTTGGGCGGAAGCAACCAAAGTACGCATCAGCCCCAATATATACAATAAAAAGTTACCTGCACACTTCCCAAATACCTATGCATGGTTATTTATGAGCACCAATGGCCATTAGATGCAAGCCCACCTGCCACATTACAGCAAACTTCTTGTTCACTGACTGTTCACCTTGCTTCCTTGAGCTTCCATCAAAGAAATCTCTAATGAGACAGAGAGGAGTATTTTTCTCAACTGCTACATACTTATTAACCCTTAATAGGAAACACATGGTGGGAAACCCATGGGGTGTTTGGCAGCATTATAACATAGCTGTGTAATACAAAAGTGAATACAAATACACAAAAATAAGTCCTGTGCTCAAACTCCCAGTTCAGTTATATTTACCAATTTCTGGATTAGGTTCTCTTGTCCTGGAGATGAAGTACTCCAATGGATGTATAAGTGTAAGATAAAAGTGTTTAAAGATAGTGATTGTAGTATGAGAATAGCAAGTGAGAGCAGAGAGCTGAAATTCTCCAAGTCCAGAAGTGGCCTGGCTAACAAAGACATTTTCAGAGTGTCCCAAGAAATCCAGAGGGAAAAGAGGTGTTTTCAAAAGTGTTGAGCATCTATTCCCCAATAGTTTATGTATGTCTGTTTCTTGTTCTTCTTTTTTTTTTTTCCTTCATTTTTTTTCTTTTCTTTTTTTAAGATGTTCTTACTTTTAAGGAATTCTCTTATCTCTAATTTTCACGTCAACCTTTTAAATTTACCAATTGATAGTGTATGGGTGTTAACTATTATGAGTTCTGACCCCTAATAATTTAACAAAAGCTCAACAAAAAGCTTTAAAAATACTACAACTAAATCAGGATTTGGTCTTATAACCAGCTGATAAGGGTGGTGTTATAGTGGTGCTGGACAGGATTGATTACATCAAAGAGGTAAACTGTCAATTAGTGGGGACAGACACAAAAGGCTATTATTCAGAGAAGCTCACTGGTAATTAGGGAACTTAAAACCTTGACTTAAAAATATAGACATTTTCATATTAGTTTTAACTTTTGGATTTTAACTGTTTTCTTATTTTTACAGATTATCTTCAATCTGTGATATTGGTGTTGGGGATTTCTCTACTAAATGCACATAAATGAACTCTGGACCAGTCAGGTCTTTATATCTCTTATATTCTAATAATTTAATCATAAAAAATCTAATAACTTTAATTACTTAATATAGATCTCTGATAAATAGATTTATTGAATAAATTCTATAATATCGTTTTTTCACTCTATGCACTATTTTAGAATGAGTTTTACACCTGCTTTTTATAATTGATTGGTTATACAGTTATATTTCATTGTTATAATTCATATAAAACCCATATAATACACTTTAACACTTAAAATAAAACTATGAACTAGAATTATTCACAATTTTGTAATCTGTCTACTAACACGTACACTGGTCTATTCAAAATGTTATAGACTCTTCTTACATACAACACATATATTTTATACTGTATATAATTATTTAGTTATTCTATTCATTTATGGAACACATACACTGATTATTGTTTACCTCTATCACTTTTATGTTTTGTTTTTTTATGTACGTATATGCTTTATATTAATTATATATAGGTCAGAGATAATCAAATATTATCATACTAAAATTATTAATAGTAATGCTTGAAGACATATTGGACCTGATCTGGTTTTGATTAGTTTATTGTTTATTACTGCGATGTTTATTTTTTTATTTCTTCTAATTTTGTCTCCATATCCCAGAAATGGTGCTTGATTGGAAGGCTTCTTGGGTTGCCATGAGTTAGGTTATTATAAAAATAGCATTTCTTTTTTTAAAAGAGTCCAACATTCATTGATTACATCATGGATATTTAACAATTAAAAATGTCTTATGTATTTAAATATATTCTGATATATCTTTATATAAAATCGATGTGACTATGGTGATGTATTAAATTGTGAATACATATGAGGGATCTTTTTCACTTAGTGCTGCCGATCTATAGTTGTATATTTGTCTCCTTGGCAACGTATCTGTGTGACCATGGATGATTACATGCGCTTGTTTGGACACTTAGCGTTATGCCATGGGTCATCGCTAAGCATGTAGCAATGCCGTGGTACTAACATAATTGCGTATACACCATACCGGAAGAGGAAGCAGTAGATTTGAGCGAACACCTCCCGAACATCTGATATATCTTTGTATAATTGCTATATTATTGAATTTTTTAGATCCAATTATTCAAATTGAATTACTTTAATTGAATCTTTATATCTAATTATTATATTCAATCGAGTTAATTTGTACTCTGACTCGTGGCACAGCTGTTAGCCTTTACTATCAATGTGACTATACTGGGGGTTGTATATGGATGTAATTGAATTTATGGTTGTAATTTAACTAATTGTTTGATTGATGTAACCTTGTTAATTGTTAATCACTTGTATTCCTATAAAAATGAATGTATACATGTACTTAGTAACTTGACAAATACTGTGTAGGTCGAAACGTTGTGATGGAGTGGGTTCAATAAAATTGCCTGGTTTGTACCTTGGAGTGCCTGGACCTTTCTTCTATTTTGTTATTCAGCATTTGGTCTCTGGTACTGAGACTGTCCGAGTTGCACCCAGCTACATACTACTTAAAGGGACAGAGTGCAGTTCCACACCCTACCATAACTACTTATGAGCAATTTCCATGATTTTATCTGATTCTGGATTTTAGTTACACTGACCATCCATTGTGAAAAAGCGATTCAAATTACTATTTTGAATATATAAAATAATTTAAAGTGGAGTATTATTATAGTAAATAAATAAACTTAATTATATTGTAAGCTTGGGCTTTTTCTCAACCCCCCCTTTCTAACACTCTGGTTTCTATCCATGCAGTGTCCTGCTGCAAGGGTTGTAGATTGTTATCTTAGCCACACAGTAACACAGTAAAGGAGTTTAAGCATGCGTGGGATAGGCATAAGGCTATCCTAACTATAAGATAAGACTAGGGATTAATGAAAGTATTTAGAAAATTGGGCAGACTAGATGGGCCGAATGGTTCTTATCTGCCGTCACATTCTATGTTTCTATGTTTCTATTCCAAGGTTTTTACAACCTGGACTGTGAATAAGATTGATACAAGCCTCATCTCTTTTCACTAAATAAATAATGTATAAGAGAAAGGGGAAAAAAAGTCTGTCTTTTACTTTCTGCTATTAGCACGCAAAATAGTCATATTTGCTAAACAGTGACTTGTAGCAGCATTTAGTTTTTTTATCCACAAAATGTCTAACATTCAGCAGTATGAGCATGATATTATCTCTCAGCGTCAGCTGCTTTGATAATGACAGCTGGCTTCCAATAGCCTTGTTCCTGTATTGTAACTGTCTGTCCATTCTTTAGCAGAGAAAATGGCCTAGACATAGACATTGTTCCTGCAGCATTTTGGCTTTGGCACCCTTGCTGGAGCTGCTGGTTGGTGTTGGATAAGGTAGACCATAGGTGGCGACTCATTAGCAGGTGTGCTTGAGACAGAGCTGTTGCGACATTCCAGGAGACTGAGATAAGGGTCTTTTTTGTAAGCCTTGGCCTTTTCCAACAGTAACTTTGTGGTTTGCAGAGATTTCCTCGACTAACCCATAACTTTGTGGGTAGTATGCAGTGGTGTATCCTGGTTTTGTGCTGCCCTAGGCAGGACAAAATTCAGGCGCCCCCAACCGCCCCTCCCTTCCCCGTCGCATACCCCTCCCATCCCTTCCCCCGCTAAATACACACACATACACACTCACTAGCAGAGACACACTCACTCACAGACACACTCACTAACAGACACACACACATTCACTAACAGACACACGCACACACTAACACACACTCACTAACAGACACACACACACTAACACACTCACTAACAGACACACACACACTCACTAACAGACACACACACATACTAACAGAAACACACAATAACAGACACACGCACACTAACACACACTCACTAACAGACACACACACTCACTAACAGACGCACACACTAGCACACACACACACACACTAACAGACACACACACTAAGCTCACACACACACTAACACACTAACAGACACACACACACACTAACAGACACACACAATAACACACACTCACTAACAGACACACACACACACACACTAACAGACCACACAGACACACACACTCACACTAACACACACTCACTCACTCCATTAACATGTACTTTTAAACCTCCCCTCCCCTCAGCCTCCTTGCCTTTGGGAGTGCTGGGGAAGGAAGGGGTTCTCTATCTCCCTGGTGGTCCAGCTGCTGGAGCTGGGTGCTGGCGGCAGCCTCAGCGGCGCGCGAGGGAGCTGAGCAGTCAGCTCACAGGAAAAGCTCCCTCGTCAGCCACCCGCCCGCTCGCCAATGCAGCCCGGCGCCCAGCATGTCTGTTAGCCGCGAGGCTAACATGACATTTGCCCTGGGCATTTGAGGGGCGGCTTTTTTTGCCGCCCCCTGAAAAATGCCGCCCAAGGCAAATGCCTTGTTTGCCTCGCGGCTAAAACGCCCCTGGTAGTATGGACATGTGGTGATATGGGTAAATGCCCATGCTTAAATTTTTCAATGCCTAGTTGATATGTTTTTATCCACTTGAAAAAGGGGAGAAACACATTGTGGTTTTATTTTGTTTATATTACAATAAAGTATTTTTGGTTACTCCTTTGTTTGCTCTGAGCATATACTTTTTAGTTTTTTTGTTACCTGGCATCTGGACATACCTCCATATACTCCTGGGGACTGCCGCAAAGAGAATCCTAGTTGGGGATTATACCACCCACACCTGAAACATAAAGCAGTTAGTCTGCTCCATCTACTGTAAGTATATTTCCATTATTTGCATTTATACTTACCGAAATAGAGAGCACTATTGATTATTTTTTTAGCATTGCATATGTTCTACTCAGTCATCATTCTGCTGTGAACTACTGCCTGAAGAATATCCTGCAAGTGGGATACAATACCACTGCATGCTGTTTTATCCAGAGCTGACATAGCTCTAGAATATGTGAGTTGGCATTTTTAGACCTTTCTGTTGTGTTATATATTTTATACTACTTTATTGCACCATTGGTCTTTTCTTGTTTTGTGATTTTTCTTTCATATGCTGCCATTTGATCAAAGGGGTACCACAATCACTTTATGAATATTGGATGGAGGACCATTATTTTTAAGACTGTGTCTTATTTCTGGTATTTTTTGATATTGTTATCTCTGGACTGTTAAATAGACAGTTTTTTTTAAATTTAATTTTAGAGGTCTCTTTAACCCCTTAAGGACCAAGCTTCATGAATAAAAGGGAATCATGACATGTTACACATGTCATGTGTCCTTAAGGAGTTAAATCCCCCTTCAGTGATCTGGCGCATCTTGTTTTTTTGTTTGTTTTACTTTTCTAAGTTATTTCTGGAGTTTTAAAGGGAATCCCGTAATTTTCAGGTGTGTTGCCTTTTGTATTTTTTACTTTTTACTAGTTTAGTGCTGATACAATTTTGTTTGTGGATGCAGTGATTAGTACCTACCAAAAGTGTTTCAAAGAAGGACAACTGATGAATGCGTCAGGTTAATGGGTGCCCAAAGCTCAATGATACACGTGGTGAGTGAAGTCTAGCCTGTCTGGTCGAATCATATAGAAGAGCTAATGTAGCTCAAATTGCTGAAAAACTTAATGATTGCCATAACAGAAAGGTGTCAGAGCACACAATGTGTTGCAGTTTGAACGAGACAAAGCTCCGTGTTGAGGGTCAAGCAGTGAACAGACAGAGCTATGGGTTTATTGTTCTTATATACACATTAGTACCACCCACAGGGTTTTGAAACACAACCAATAAACACATACAATACCCTACATATCACTCTCCCGCTGGGGAATGGAGACTGGGTTCCCAATTCCCTGCAGTATCTGCCAATGGAGTTCCTCCCAACGTCTCTTTCTGTCCGGTATTGCAGATTCTTAAACACTCTGTCCCTCATGGACTGCACATACTTCTCAGCTGGATTGGGTCCGAAGAACTTCAGCTGCAATTCCATCATATTGTCAAACTCTCTCCTTGAGTAGCTGTACTCCACTGCTGGTTCCATCCTGGTGCTGTCAGGGTCGCTGTACTCAGACATGCGTTGCCCTCAAATTGTAAAATCAATGGAATGGTGTCTCCTGTAGCTGTCCCTCTGGCTGTAGGAATGATCCCGCCGCTTGCCACCAATTGTAACGGCACCCCCAGGCATAAAATGGTTAAACTGCCGTTTAGTAGATCTTCCATTCCAGAGACACAGGCACAGCTACTGCAGAACACCAATCCGCCGAACAGGAAACCATACGAATGCTGTAAACAGCCAAATAGGAAAAACCATACGAAAGGTTTACACTCCTAGCAGTCCTCCCCTCTGCCTGTGATACAATTACCTTACACAATGGGTAATGTAATTATCACAAGCAGAGAAATACAATTTTTCCACATTATTCATAACTTGAAAAGTTTGCATCACATTCACATAACTTACATTTTCAGAATCAGCATACTCCAAATACAAACATATGTCAAAATCATCCAAATTGGTCCAGTGGTTCAAAAGATAGATTGTAGTCCTTTGTGACCAAAGGGAGCATGGCTTTTCTGCCCAAAACCAGTTCCACAGAGTCTTCTATCCTGGAGATAATTGGGAAGTAATCCAATTATCTCCAAGGACAGAGGCAAAACTCCATTGAACACATGGCAGCAAAAGACAATAAAACACATAAAAACATATAACTGTGCAGCCATTGCACAAAACAGGTACATTCAACATATCCCCAGATAGCTCAGATCTGAGCGCACATTATTACTGAATGGCGCTCAGAGCACACACATACAGTTCAATTGCCATGGAGCCAAAGTCTTTCCCATAGTCTTTCATTATACGAATGGGCTCCATGGCATAGCTATCTGGGGTATCACCGCTCAAACAGGGCCAGCACCGAATGACCCGGCTTTCGTGTCTCCGCAGGGGAAAATCAAGCGTTTCAACATGGGGCCATAGTCTAAAGGTAGCAGGTGGGCAACCAGGCTTCTCCAATGCACAGTGGCGAGATTGGTCTCGTCACAGTGCCCATTATGATTCTTGTCCACTGTCGAAAGCACCTTTAATGGGGACGTGAGCATCAGAACTAGACCATGGAAAAATAGTAGAAGGTTGCCTGGTCTAATGGTGCTTTCTTTTAGATTAGGTGGATGGCCTAGTGTATGTGCTTCATTTACCTGAGGAAGAGATGGCAGAAGGATGCACTATGGGAAGAAGCCAGTGTCACTTTGACACGTGCCACCTGGCAAGAGATTTTTGCAAAGCATGTACATCCTTTCATGGCAAAATGGGCAAGCAAAGTTCCTTCAATGGGGGCATGAGTGCCAGAACTGGATCATGGAGAAATGGAAGAAAGTTGACTAGTCTGATGAATCATGTTTTCTTTAACACCAGGTGGACAGCCGGGTGCATGTGCATAATTTACCTGCAGAAGAGATGGCAGTAGGATGCACTATGGGAGGAAAGCAGGCCGACAGAGGCAGTGTTATGCTTTGGGCAATGTTCTGCTGGGAAGCGTTGGGTTATGGCATTCATGTGGATGTTACTTTGACATGTACCACCCACCTAGAGATTGTTGCAAACCACGTAGACCCCTTCATGGTGATGGTGTTCCCTGATAGCAGTGGTCTCTTTCAGCAGGAAAAAGTGCCCTGCTACACTGCATGCATTTTTTTTGCAATGATTTGAAGAACATGACAAAGAGTTCAAGGTATTGCATTGGCTTCCAAATTCCCAGTTATCAATCCGATTGAGCATCTGTGGAATGTGCTGGAACAATATTTGCACCTGAGGAAGACTGTTTAACAGTTGAGACATGTTGTGCTGCTATATTATGCTTTCTTCTAATTTGTTTTAAAGTACATGTTAATAAATATTATTTTAACTTATTATTTTGATTCCTGATATTTTATGCTGCTATCATGCAGCTACCTTTGGGACCTCAATTTACCTGAAGCAAGGTGTAATTGCAAATCTATCTATCTGGGACAAATATCTACCTGAAGCAAGGTTTGTTTGATGCCTCCACAGTTTAGAGCCAACTTATAGACTCTAGAGATTGTGAGTTTTTACAACCCCCCCCCCCCGATCCATTTTTGTACATACATGCTGCGCTATATTTCTTTTTTATGTCATATAGGTTTTAAAACTACAAGAGACAATCATAATCATAGTGTGTGCTTTTTCACCTCTCTTATGTGGTCTGTATAATTTTGGTAGAAAAAAATGTCATATAAAAATAAAATGTACCTTTAGGAGAAACAAGTTAATCCTACCTATGTAGATCAAGTTATTACATACATGCCATTTTCGAAAAAAGGTTTGAATGCACATGCCTGTACTGAGTAAATGTATGAATGTGGTGTATATTTGTGCTGTGTTTATATTTTTGAATAGTGTGTGCATGTGATGAATTTGCTATGAGTGAAAGCTGTGGGTTCTGTGCCAGTGCACTCTTTACAAGTTTACATTAGCCTATTACAAGCCCTATTATTGTTCCTATTATTAGCATTATTATCGTCAGATTTATCCCATTAGAGGTCCCATTGCTCCTGGACATGCCACATTAACCCTATTCCATTTTCACTTAACCCCATTGCCTACTCCCTTTGCCCTTACAATAGGTTAACACTACCCCTCACTTCCTATATGCAGCCGGGAGGAGGTGCATGGCATGTGATCTTTATGATAGCACATGGCCAGTCCAACAGGTCCAACTTGAGGAATCTCAGCGCCGAAACTCTGAATTTCCCATCAGGCCTGTTCAGCCTGGTGGGGGAGCTACTGAATACAGGGCATATATAGATTTGCAGATACAGAGCAACCCAATGTAGTACCATTGCTGATTCTGGACAAGCTTAGCCAAAGCTGAGGCATAATGAAAAAACAGCTCCCAGCTGGCCAGTCATTACTGTTACTGTGGAGAGAAAAGCACAAATAAGGGTGCGCCTAAGACAAGTAGAATGAATGTATAATAATATGTATCAGAGAGTCCAAGCAGCGATACCTAGAAAGTCCGAATATAAATAATCCACATATGCAGCAGGTAGTCCTAGTGCTACATAAAATGGTATGTGAAGTCCCAGATGTATATCCGCAGCTTCAAAATGGATATGTGGAGAAAACAGAAGACAAGGGAAACTCCAATGGTATAGTATGAATGGTAAAATAATATTGTATATAGAATAGTAGAACTACTCACAATATTCAGAGCTTATATCCAGCTCTGGTGTAAATGGCACGTAGTGGAATAATCCCCACTCAAGGATATACGTTGCTCCTCTTTTGTTCTTTAGCAGAGTACTTTGGTGGAGTAGTCCAGCTCGAGGTAAAAGAATAAAATATAGTGCTCACTGTATAGTTGATAAAATATAAAAACAGAATAAAATATACTCACGGTATATAGAGCAGACGTACTGCTCGGTGGATGGCGTATGGGTGGTATAATCCCCATTTTAGGATTCTTGGTACTCCAGTATGGACAAAAAGGTAGTAGTAGTCAGGTCTGAATAAAATAAACTTGCAAATAGTAAAATAATAAAATTATACTAAAAGAAGGTAATATAATACTAAGGTGGAAAGAGGAATGTGGCAACCAAATGTATAATAGCCAAATATTCCTTTATTAACACTTAGATTATATAAAAAGTTCCTATACGCGTTTCGCCACAATAGGCTTCATCAAGTAGAAACTTATAAAAAGAGAAAAACAGACCTAACATATAGCACTTATATAAGAAAACATAAAATTGCACCAACACCACATCCTATAAAAACGAGAAAACGAAGTCTGAGTTTAGAGGAAGGAGAAGTGGGAGAAGAATTCAAAAGAGAAAGAAGAGACCGATAATAATCCCTGAAACGGAGAAAGACCATGGTATTTTTAACCTTTCACAAAAAGCACTTACTTCCACACAATTAGCTGTTTTAAGCAAAGGTCTTAAATTTGCCCCCACAAATCCGTTCAGACCCTTTAAAGCCTTTATAGATATAAATAAATTCACTAGAAAAGCTACTCTTAAAAGGTTTTTTGCAAGTAACAGTTTGAATACGTCTAATACTCAACCTCTAGTTATGTCCCCTCCAGACCACCCTCAAATAATTACCACTTCTTTAAAAAATAATTCAACTTTTTTCCCATTCAGTTTTAAAACAGGCCCTCTGGAAGTCTTTGAAAAATTGATTATGAAAGACCTAGAAAAAATAAAGAAGAGTAAATTTGATCAGAATAATCTTACTAAAGCAGAAAGGAATGCACTCCTTGAATTACAAAAAGATGAGAATATTGTTATTAAATCAGCAGATAAAGGAGGTGGTGTGATTATATTACCTAAAGAAATGTACATTAAAAAGGCGATGAGACAACTAAATGATCCCAACATCTATGAAAAATTAGATAAAGAACCTACCAGTAATATCCAACAAATTTTAAATTCATTTTTACTAAATGGCCGAGAGCATAATATCCTAACCAAACATGAGTTCGAATTTTTAAATATCTCCCATCCAAAAATCCCTGTTATTTATTTTTTACCAAAAATCCATAAAGATATTAATAACCCCCCAGGGAGACCTATTGTGTCCGGCATCAACTCAGTTCTATCCAACTTATCTGAATACCTAGATACTCTACTACAGCCCTCAGTAAAACGTATGAAATCCTATTTAAAAGACTCTATGACCCTTCTTCGTTTTTTAAATGATTTTACATGGAAAGATACATATATTTTAGTCACTTGTGATGTACAATCTCTGTACACCATTATTCCCCATGTGGACGGCTGTCTGGCAGTAGAAGGGATTCTAAAAGCCGAAAATAAGATCAAAGACAACCAGATACGTTTTATTATTGATGGTATCAACATTATTTTAAACAACAATTATTTCTGGTTTTTAGATTCATTTTATTTACAGAAGCAGGGGACTGCCATGGGGACCAGGTTTGCCCCCAGTTATGCCAACCTGTTTATGGCAGAATGGGAATCCTCTGCCATATTGGGTGGGCATGACTGGAAGGCAAACCTGATTACATATTTCAGATACATCGATGATCTGTTTTTTATTTGGGAGGGCTCTGAAAGTTCTCTTAACCATTTTTTACAATTTTTAAATTCTAATGATAAAGGTATTATCCTAACTTGGGAATACAGTCAATCCCTTATTAATTTTTTAGATTTAGAAATTTTTATCCAAAACAATCAATTGCAAACAAGGACTTTTTTTAAGAAAGTATGTACATGTCTAGTTGTCACCACAAACCCTGGCTCAATGGGATACCAAAAAGTCAGTTCCTCCGTCTTCGGAGGAATTGTTCCCTTATTCAGGATTACGATGACCAATCGAATACTTTATTAAATAAATTTGCCCAAAAAAACTATCCCGTTAACGAGCTTAACACAACTAGAAATACTGTTAAAGAGAAACATAGACCAGATCTCTTAGAATATAAAGATAAGACAACCACTGAGTGTGTCCCATCATTGCCAATCATTTTTGATTTTAACAACAAAAGTCATGTTGTAAAAAAAAATCATAAATAAATACTGGCATATATTAAAACAGGATGATATTCTGGCTGGGATTATTCCTGATAAACCTCATGTTATATTTAGAGGAGCACCCAGCTTCAAATCTATCCTCACAAATAACTTTACTAAAGCAAAAAGTATTGCCTCCCATTTGAATTCCCCCTCCCCGTTTACTAAACCTAAAGGTTTTTTTAAATGTAATAAGTGCATAGCCTGTAAACGAACTGATGCGACTATTAGATCAAAGACCATTTCCTTTACGTCATCCGCCACACAGAAGATTTATCAAATAAATAATTTTATCCATTGTAACACAAAAAATGTGATTTACTTACTGGAGTGCCTATGTGGGCTCCAGTATGTTGGTATGACAACCAGAAATCTTAAAATTAGATTAGCGGAACATTGTCGTAACATCTCTAAAGGTTATGAAAATCATTCAGTATCCAAGCACTTTTTAATGCATAATAAAAATCCCAAATTACTTAAATGTATAGGTATCGATGTGTGTGAAATCCCATGGAGAGGAGGCAATATAAAAAAGATCTTAGGTAGTAAAGAAATGGAATGGGCTTACAACTTGAAGACCCTCACCCCATTAGGCCTCAATATAGAATTTGACCTTTTTAATTTTTTGTAATCTTTAAAAAAAAAAAAAAAAAATGTTTTTTTTAGCTTTTATGCAACCCTCCTATTGTATTTATAATTTATATTTTTGTGTATACATATATTGTATTTTATTAATGTGACAGTTGTATCGATGTTTATATTCTATTCTATTTGTATTCACCTACATTAATCTATTGGAATATATTAGTAACCTCTGAGGGGTTTCGAACTTGTAGAGTGTATGTTCCTAGTCTGATACTCTACTGGTGCAGCCACCTGCATGATATAACTATGTGCTAGCCTTTTCTGAGTATTGAACCTGCTTGTCTGATCATAAAACTCAACCCAGAGGCTCTTACTTAACCTAATATCACATGACATGTTCTTATTTACTTCCGTGTCACGTGATGTTATAATTTATATAATTTCTTACAATGTAAAACCTCGTTTTTTAATATTTTGTGTACATATAATGCTTCTGACTTCTATACTATATTTTAAACACTCTTATATTGACTTTTTATATTTTCCACATTTTTATTGAATTGTGTCCACTCCCATGACGCTGGTGACGTCATTTTGGCGGGAATTTCAATTTATCTGTGCAATTTTATGTTTTCTTATATAAGTGCTATATGTTAGGTCTGTTTTCTCTTTTTATAAGTTTCTACTTGATGAAGCCTATTGTGGCGAAACGCGTATAGGAACTTTTTATATAATCTAAGTGTTAATAAAGGAATATTTGGCTATTATACATTTGGTTGCCACATTCCTCTTTCCACCTTAGTATTATATTACCTTCTTTTAGTATAATTTTATTATTTTACTATTTGCAAGTTTATTTTATTCAGACCTGACTACTACTACCTTTTTGTCCATATTGGAGTACCAAGAATCCTAAGGTGGGGATTATACCACCCATACGCCATCCACCGAGCAGTACGTCTGCTCTATATACCATGAGTATATTTTATTCTGTTTTTACATTTTATCAATTATACAATGAGCACTATATTTTATTCTTTTACCTCGAGCTGGACTACTCCACCAAAGTACTCTGCTAAAGAACAAAAGAGGAGCAACGTATATCCTTGAGTGGGGATTATTCCACTACGTGCCATTTACACCAGAGCTGGATATAAGCTCTGAATATTGTGAGTAGTTCTACTATTCTATATACAATATTATTTTACCGTTCATACTATACCATTGGAGTTTCCCTTGTCTTCTGTTTTCTCCACATATCCATTTTGAAGCTGCGGATATACATCTGGGACTTCACATACCATTTTATGTAGCACTAGGACTACCTGCTGCATATGTGGATTATTTATATTCGGACTTTCTAGGTATCACTGCTTGGACTCTCTGATACATATTTTTATACATTCATTCTACTTGTCTTAGGCGCACCCTTATTTGTGCTTTTCTCTCCATTGTATTCCAAGGGGCTTAGAGGGGATTCCCCTTTTCCATAGGTGTGCTGCCTTGCTGTCATATTCTCTGTTTTCCTATCAGCGCTGAACCTCCTTCCTGATCTCGATTACATTACTGTTACTGTGATTCTCAAGGGGAACACCAGAGATGTAATACCCCCCCCCCCCCGAGAATCTCTATAGTGGCAAATTATTGCTTCCTTCGTCTGTAAGGAGGGGGTGGGCAGGAAATGTCAGTGCTAGCACTTCAATATTGGGTGCAGCTACCTCTCTGCTGCTCGACATAACAGTGAAGACAAAGAGAAGGGTAGTGAGGTTTTGAAATTCAGGAGCTGTTTAAAGGGGTATGGAGCTGGGGAGTAAAGGTGATGTTTACGCATTGTTAATGGTGAGGTGGAAAAGCAGAGGAAAGGAGGGACTAAGCCTTGGGAATGGAGGCAATGCTGCAGAATAAAATTTGAAAGCCTGTTAATGGAGGGATGGAAAATCTAGAACAGAACATATGGAGGCTGCATCTGAGGAAGTAGAGGACTATGAACTTCACCATCTGGTTTTAGCAGCCTATGACAGTCATAAAAGAGAGGTAAGTACACAGGCCTGTCTTTTAGAGAGTGCATCAGGGCCGTCTTTAATTTTGATTAAACCCTGGGCAAGCATTTACTTGGGCCCCCTGACTACATATAGATACACACAAATACACTACCTGCCACACATGCAGATACACACTGACTGCATGTAGATACACACAAGAACATAGAGATACACACAGACTACATATAGATACACTGACACACACATAGACACACACACACAGATATAAACACTGACATACATGCAGATACAAAGGTACACCCATTGACTACATATAGATACACACACACACACACTGACACACATACAGACACACAGATACACAACCTAAAACACATGCAGATATACAGATACAAACACTGACACACACAGATACATACAGATACAGAGACACATACTGACAGACGTACTAACACAGACAGCCATACTGAAACACACATACACAAAGAAATACTGAACCACACAGACACTGACATGCAGATACACCGACAGACATACTGGCACATATACACACAGACAGACGGACATACTGAAACACACATACACACAGACATTGACAGACATATTGACAAACACAGACATACAGAACCACATGGACACTGACAGACTCACACAGACATACTGACAGACATACAGACATTCTGGCACACATACACATAGACAGACATACTGAAACACACAAACACACAGACACTGACAGACATACACACATACAGACATTTTGACATGCACAGACAGCCATACTGAAACACACATACACAAATACATACTGAACCACGCAGACACTGACAGACACAAACACACACAGATTTTCTGGCACACTGACAGACATACTGGCACACATACACACAGACAGACAGACATACTGAAACACACATACACACAGACACTGACAGACAAACACACATACAGACATTTTGACACACACAGACAGCCATACTGAAACACACATACACACATACATATATACTGAACCACACAGACATTGACAGACTCAAACACACACACAGACATACTGACACACTGACAGACATGCACACACACAGACATACTGACACACTGACAGACATACACGCATATACAGACATACTGAAACACACATACAGACATACTGAACCACACAGACACTGACAGACTCTCACACACACAGACATACAGATACACTGACAGACATACTGGCACACTAACAGACATACACACATACTGACACACTCATGCAAAATTTGATAACCACCCTCCAGTTTCTTACCTTTTTCTGGAGGGTGGCTTCCCTGGGGTCCAGTGGGCTGGCTGGGGTGGCTGGGAGTTAAGCTCTCCCGGCCTGGCACCCTCCGGAACAGCTGGTCCTCCTTCCTCCTGCGTGGTTCTTGTTTCTGTGGGAGGAAGTGACGCACGGCTGTCACTTCCTCCCAGTGCTGCCGAAAAGCAAGAGCCTGGTCGCGCTGTTAAAGCGCCACAGCGCCCGACCGGGCCCCTGCTGACACAGGCCCACTGGGTGGCCCTTAGTGCATGGGCCACCCAATGGGCCCCCATAGTTTGCGGGCAGAGGGCAAACAGGGCAGTTACCTCGGGGCCCCCAGCAGGGACAGGGCCCGGGGCAGCTGCCCTGTTTGCCCCGCGTTAAAGACGGCCCTGTTGTGCATATTTCATGGTGAGCATATTTGCAAAGGCACCTGTCAGATAACCAGTGAGAGTAATTTAAACATTTCTCCTAACATTTAACCAGATTTTTGGCAGTTTAAAAAAAATTCTGGTAATGCTTTTGTTACTCTAGCAGCAATAGAGAGCCATCAATGGGGGGCAGAGGGGAGCTGCAGTACTAAACATTAAAAGGACAGATGTTTGATCAGACACAGTGGCTTACACACGATCCATGGGGCCCCGGTGCGAAAATTGAGCCATGGACTCCCCCCCGCGCGCTTACTTTGCGTGGGCCGGGGCCGTAACACATGGCGGCAGGCCCTGGTGTTAAAAGAGCAGTATCCTCGGTGTCCCCCACCAGTATTGGATTCCCCTGTTATGGAGCAGAGGTAATAGTGGTTGCAGGCCCTGACCACTCGATGGTGCCTCTGGTTAGATATGGGAACAGCGTCAGTGCGGCTCCTTCGAATTGTAAAGGAGTTTTTCCTCGAGCATCTGCCAATTGGAGGGTCTTGTCTTGCATAGACTGGAATTGGACTATCAGGTCCATGAAAGCGGACGATGGCACAGTTGATGGTTTCGGCAGCCTGAACATGCCGTCTAGCCGTACCCTGCCACTGCCTCCACTCCCACCAGTATTAGTAGCATTCAACCACAGGATAGTGGGGTTAGCAGCATATCCCGATTCATCATCTAGGAGGGAAAATATTTCTCATTCTTTTTATGCTGCAATAATGTCTGTGGCACTTCCACAGTCATTGCCGCACCTTCTACAACTGCTAATTCAATTGTTATCGCTTGTGTGTTTTATGGTGCAAGGAGGTTTTATGGTGCAAGGAGCAAGGAATCGGTGAAACCAGTGGACTTGTTGCTGTTGACTGGTACACCTTATTTCATGACCCCTCCCCCCACCTCCAAAGAGCAGAATACCCAAGTACTGTCATCAATGTCTTTTAAAGTTTATATCGCTCTTTCTCCCACCACTCCAAACATGTTTAAGTCTGTGCTAGGCAGAATTTGAATATGACACAGAGGAATTATAAAAGTAAGAGTCAGGAGAGGAAAGGCAGCAGTCTACTATTTTTTGTACTATTTGTGCACTCGCCACTTTGCCCAAGTCCATCAATACCTGCAGTAGAATAGCTTTATTTCATGGAAACAGTTGGATCATCATCTCCTATAACTGCCAGAAGTGGCTTACCCAGTGAGATTATCATTAACACCCCCACCTTCCGTCCCATTAGTACTAGTCAACCAAGTGCTAGGGTTAAAACAGCTACCAAAGTTGAAAATTCACCCACATCTTCATCAGTCACAAGGCCAAGGGTTGAGGTTAATAGATGAAGCAAAGTTTTAATTTACTTTGACAGCCTCCCAGATGAGAGAATTGCAAAGTGTAAATCTACATCTGCAAAGTCACCCCAAGTCTTAAAAAGAAAGTATGCGGGCGGGCACGCAGCAGGTCCACTGATGTTGTATCTGATTTTGCACAAACTACGACCATTTGAACCTCCTCCACTACTACCAAGGGAGGATGTTGACCATTGTTTCACTAGACAACAGAGAAACAGATTCCAAGTCTACATTATCCCAGGGATGTGTCTCCACACTTGAACACTTTGATACTTGAGGTGTCTACATTTGCTAGCTGATATTGAATTGGCCACTCACCTCTCCCTTCAAAGTTGTTTCTAAATTTGGAAAAGTATTCATAAAATTTGGCAGTGAATAAGAAATATTCCAATTAAATTTATCAGTGGTTTATCAGTGGGTTTGCCCTGCCTTTCAGTGTGTTTTATAAATGCTAACTCAGCAGAAGCAGCTGTGAGAAGCTGATAGGGCACTGTTTTTTCCCACACTGAAGGACGGTCACTTGTGCTACAAACTGGAGGTATGTGACAGCTTTGTTCTTTTCAGGATAGAAAGGGTGAGTGGTTGGTCAATTGCAGACGTTTTCCTTAGATTTTTGGATACATCCCCTATTTTGAACTTAAATGATTAATGCTCACCATTTTTAATGATACCAGATAGCAAAAGGAAAAAATTGAAAATTTCAGCTTTACAAAAGTTCTCTCACTTCCTATTTTTTGTAATGAAGATCTATAATAATCTTTTTTGTCAACTCTACATTTACAGTTCAAAATGCCTGAAATAGCATAGCCATTAGGCCAGTGCTGTGTTGACTACTCAAGTTGCTTTACCAAATTTCATGTTTTGTACCGAAATTTAGCCAAGCCAAACAGCGGCATGAACTAAATTCTGCCGCCCCAGTTTTTTTTTTCTGACAATTTTTTTTGAAGAACTTAATTATTTTTCCCAGCACAAGTCTAGCAAACATTACAAAACAATAATAGCTGTATTATATGTTTGCTCATAAGGCTCACAACAGTTGCTGAATTTTTTAAACCATTCTAAATAATAAATATAAAAATTATACAATAAAGTTAATATTTTAGTATATAACTGTAATATAAATTCAGGCAGCACAAGAAATAATTAGGCTTTGATCTAATATTTTTGGATAAGCTTTTTAAATGATTTAATATTTATGGGTAAACTTTTAAAATGCTTAATTTAAAAAATATTTTAAAACTTTGTGCTTTTTTCATATATATGAATATTTTTCCATATGATGTATTTTGGTATTTTAATATTTAAAAAAATATTTTTTAAAAATATTAAATACTTTTAAGAACTTACTATCATAATACCTATTGCAAATCCACACCAGTCAAACACATATAGATAATAATTAGAGGAGTATCAATTTTTTAACTCTTATTATTTTACCAATTTTAACTTGTACTTTTCAATCAGTTTTTATTTATTTATTTATATTTTTCTGACAATGTCATTTTCCTTTTGAAGTGTTTTAGATTTCCTTCCTTTTAGAAATAATTTCCTGGTTTAGTATTCTAAGTTAATAATAATCTCTCTTTAGTAGCCTTACTTGGTGAAAATTATGTTTACGTAAGTCACTTTATTTGAGGATATATGTGCAATATAGCATACCACATATACTATGTATATAGTATGGTTAATTAAGGTCACCTTTGGTTTCATGTTGGGTCTCTTATATTAAATTAGTCTGGATAAAATATGCTTTAAATATATAGTATTACTAGAATGCATTATATATGCACTATATGTGGGACAATGGCTAAAATAATGTGAATATATAAAGCTCTATCCATATAATTTTTTTATAATTGTTTTTTTATAATGAAGTTATATATATATATATATATATATATATATATATATATATATAAATTGTATATTCGTTTAATTGGTGTTTTATTTTTATCTGGCCATCTGGATCCACATATAGTGCATTCAAAATATCATCCTGTCGCTTCAATTCGGGTAGTAGGCAATTAGTGACAGTCAGGCGATATATATATTTATCCAGCCTGTATATTATGTAATGCATCTGTACAGTTATGGGAAAAAAGTACACCTTATTTGAATTCTATGGTTTTACATATCAGGACATAACAATCATCTCTTCCTTAGCAGGTCTTAAAATTAGATAAATACAACATCACATGAACAGCAACACAAGACATAACACAGTGTCATGATTTATTTAACAAATATAAAGCCAAAATGGAGAAGAGTTATTTTAGTTTTTTTAACCCCTGAGGATTAACGTTACCTCAGGGATTAAATGTATTTAATTTAATATTTTGAAATGTAGTTAGCTGGGGTGAGTTGAAGTATGTGGGCAATTGAGGAATTTAGCGTTAGGTTAGTTAGGGGTTAAAAAAAAATGTTTAATAAAGTTATATGTGTGTGTGTGTGTGTGTGTGTGTATATATATATATATATATGTATGTGTGTGTGTATATATATATATATGGCCTATGCCTAAATAATTTATAATGTATGTCTTGATTTTTGTTTAAAATGTATATTATCTGTCCTCTGTCTTGCTCACATAAATAAAGAATTAAAAAAGTAAATAAAAAGATTTTAAAAATCCTGCTTATTAACACTACACTTTGTACAAACTAGCAACAAAATGCCCCAATGCAAGGGTTCAAAATATGCCTTCTGAAATACCCTCGGATTTTTTTAAAATGGTATGCCTTTGTTGGGTAGTTTGAATAAACAACCTGTTAAGATACTCCAAATGGAACGTGGACCCAGCGTCAAAATTCAAAGTTTGCAAAAAACTGAAATGACTGTTTCAAATGTGACCCATCAATGTCCACATATACCTGGCAAAGGTACATTTGGGGGTTGTGGGGATATTTATGGGATAATAATAGTAAACAGTGAGAATTGCCCACTAATTCAATTCTCAGATCCCAAAGATCGTTATCGTGTTAAGTGAAAAGTATTTCATATAAATAAAATCACAATAGTGTTATGAAAATAGATTTTATTTTATAATAACAATTAATTAACAAATAATATTATGTAACATGCGTGACAATAATCAATGAATATCCAGTATAAAATGGTATGCAATACAAAGGAATGGCTATACACGTTTCAATGGCTAAACAGCATTTTCTGTCAAGACTTACATGATTTATGAGGTATCCTTACAGACATAGAAAGCGAAGCTTTTCACAGCGAAGGGCCCTGGCTAACAGTTAGATCAACTGAATAACCCTTTCAATGCTGGCTAGATCTCCTAGGTAATTAAGATCTATTCTTATGTAATTTTAAATAAAATAACATTTAAACCAGTTCATTAGTCATTTCCTGGAACCATCCAATAAGAGAATCTATCATGTTATATAAGCAGAGTTTGTTTTTAATTTGCCTAAACAGATATCTTATCTTATATTAGAGCAAATCAATACACCTGGATAAAAACAGCGGTATGCTAACACGTGATAATATCACATTAATATATAATTATTCTTAATTCCACCTGCAGAATGGAATGTTTATAACTATATATTCTTTAGTTAACTAAGATTTCTAAATATGGAAATCTGACCGTGATTTATCCAGTCATATATCATGCTATTAGTAAATTTTAATTAATTTAATTAATTAAATGAAACCAGTATAATTACCAGTTGAGTAGATATTTCATCTGATTGGTAGATAGTCTCAGGAACTTATTTGGATGTCTCTCTGCATGGAGGTGTGTAGGAATTTCTGAGTGTAAAGTAGTGTTGGTTAGAAAGTCAGTAAAATTCTAAGTGTTAGAGTTTTAAGAGTAGAGTGTTAGTCTCAGATGTTGTCCTGGGTTTCTCTGCATGTCCGAGTTGGAGTCCCCAAACTTCCAATTCCTCTCTCTCTTTTTTCTTCTCTCCTACCTCCTCCTCTTTTCCCTCTGTCTTAACTTTTTAAAGGGAAAATTCACTAGTTGCTAGACCAATAGGAACTCTGGGGTGTGGTTATCTTCCAGATAGCAATTTAGTATTTGTTCTATAGAGGGCAGTCTTGTCCCACTAAACATACCTATCCAGGAAAGAGTTAACTTTTCTTGGTGGCTATTTTGACGTCATTTTGCTTTATCTTTATAGTGGCCATAACTTGCGTTTTCTTTCACTTCAAAGGGTTTTCTCTTAGTTTTGTCCAGACTTAGTGTCCACAATTCCTGCTATAATTTTTAATATGGCAGTTCATGAACTAAGTTTCACCTTAAACTTACAATGGGATCTTGTACATATAGAAAGTAAAATTTTATTATTTAATCTCCTCTGTCACAAATGTCTGTGTTTAGATATGCATCTATTCCATTAACATTTTAGACAGTCTATCCAACCCCCGTTCTCCTTATCACTTGGTTTGTATATACTATGCATTCCTTTAGCTCTGGGAGAGTGGTTAGTTTTACAGATAGGATAGAAATTTCGTGTCTCTTTTGTTAATTTGAAAATAACAAAATGGAGTCTGGTCTCTTCAGAGTGACTCAGAATATACACTTTTAATTTCTATCGTAGCACAAAAATGTCTGCCGATATAAATACCCTGACAGGGTACATACATACAGATACTCAGACACAAAGATACACATGCAGATAAACAGATACACTGATATACACACTGACAATATACAAATACATAGACACATATACTGTCAGACATACTGACGCACACAGATACATACACTGATAGACATACCGATATATACAGACACTGACAGAAATACTGACACACATGGACATACTGGCAGAAGGGAGATTTTAATCTCCCTTAATTACTAATACTAAGTAGTCTTTACTTGGCATTAGTAAAGTTGGCTGAAAGACCAGTTTTGGTCTTTCAGCCTTCTAGTAGAAAGCTCCCTAATTCCCACGGTATTAGGGAGCTATCTACTAAACAGCTGCAAGATGCAGCCACGGCACTGACTGGATCGGAATTTCATTAATTTATATGAAATTCCAAACTGAACAAAAAGTACTGAATGTTGTCCTAACATGAATGGACAAACTGTGCTCATTCTGTTAGGACAAAATTTGGTGATTTCGCCAGCACCCTGTTTAAATGACAGGATGTTCGAACGGCGAATGAAGCAACACAAGATCACAGAGGAAGGGTGAGTATTGTGGGAAAATTTACTTTGTTTTAAAGAAAACTAAATCAGTTAGGAAGAAAAGAAGAACATATTCTAAGAGAAAGCAATTGGAGAAAGGTAGGCTTGGCATGACAGTGCCGCTTTAAGCAGAACAAACATTCTATAACAACACGCAATGAAGTGGGCCTAGAAGAGTATCATTAATTACCAATGAAATGTCATTTTAACTAACGTCATG